GTGGTCTGTGATAGCTGTGGCTTGACGCGGAGCCAGCAACTCGCCCTCACCATATGTGTCTGTGTCTCGGAGCAAATCGTAAGAGGTGAAATCTCAATGTGACAGAGTATACAGCGATTGTCCAATCAAATGCTAAATCTTGTAAGGGAATCTAGACCCAGCAATTTAATATATAATTATATCTGCTGATATATTACAGTGATCTAAAAAAAAAAATCTAAGGACTTTCTTTGCAGACTGCAAAACAATCTAGAAATTATTGTGTATTCCAATAAAATAGAAATGGAATTTTTATGACTCTAATAGACTCTGCTAAGTATTTGTAATAAGAAAAGTATATACATAGTTGCTACTGGTAATTACATAAAATTTTAAAATTCACATAAGATCTATTATTCTATCAAAAATGGCGTGGAAAATCTCCGTGACTGTGTCGGCTTGCCAATGGCTCACCCATGTATCCTTGACGCAGTGGTCATGACGTCAGTGACTTGAGTTCCTCTAGTACTTAATCATTAGAACCTTGCCATCTCAAAGGGATAGCAAGGATTAGATTTGAAAAAGTGGACTGCTGTTATTCTGTACCTGACTGACCTACCTTTCCCTTACACTGATAAAAACGTTGATTATTTATCATGATCATTATCACCACCAAAGCTATGGGCAATGAGGAAGACTCAAACAAAATACATGTCAGAGAGAGAGGTCTTAGCTTGAGAGAGAGACAAAACCCATCAAACATTCACCGGAGCGGAGCCATATAGAGTTTATCATCGAAATTAGAGACAGCTTGTCCGGCTAAAAGAAATGGGTGAATAAGAAAACAGAAGCTCAAAGCAAGGACACAGAAACACTTGATTACTTCAACAATTATGGTCGTGCTCCAAAGCGCTAGTATACTTCAAATTACTGGATTTATTCGTTGTCGAGATCATGCGATGCCTGAGTCCTTCTTCACCAAAGGTCAATCGACGACGTCTTGGACCTCTACAGCTTCTTCGCATGTACAATTCCCGAAACTTCGAATGGGCACGCCTTCGTTTGATAAAATTTCCAGCCGCTCCAAAGTGTTACCTTTACCTCCAGGAACGAAGACGTAGGCAAAGACGAAAGAGAGGAGGGAAATGTCGCCGAAGATGAACTGGCCATCTCTATCGGGGGGCTCATGCGCTATGTAGGGCATCGTGAGATTGACAACGAACTTGTTCCAAATATAGTCAGACCACTGGAGGTTGCGCAGTCCCGACTCACCTGGGCTGATAGCAAGAGACGTGAACTAGATCATGCACAAGCCTGGATACTTACGCTGTGATGACGTTCATGACGGACGTGGTTATTTGGGATGCATCGCGGAGGCGAAGAGCTGAGGTCGTCACCACCTATTTGACGGAGCCCCGGCCAAGACAATGATCGGCGGTAAATAGGGGGAGCATCGCGACATCAGCCTTCTTGTTCGCGGTCATCTGGTTCTGGATTCTGCCCAGGTCTCCATCGTGCAAACAAGCGCAGGTCGCCAAAGAGCCCCGGTCAGCAGAAGGACTCTGAGGATGAATAGTCAGTCAACGACTGTCCATAAGCAATGGATGGGTACAAATGGGACAAAATGAGCCACACTCCACCGAGTTACCAGAGATTAAAGTACCGTCTTTTACTATTTTTGTTCAGAACCAGGGAGATGCTGCAAATAACGATGTTGCTGGCAGCGTTGATGACCATCATGCTGAAGGGATTGACCGAGCCGATGCTGCTGATAAACACAGCTCCGTACAAGGACACGGTTGCTTGACCCGCAGCTTATTGAAAGTAGTTCAGCGCCAAAATGATAGCAGCACGCTTGAGTTTGATCCCGTGTAAGATCTCTCGGTACCGGCCTTGCTTTGGCTCGATGGCAAGGCTTGCTGGAAGGTGGCGAACTCTTGTGTGATTTTCTCTACCCTGGAGGCTCCAGACGAAGCTTGCGGAGAGACTTCTAGGCCTCATCAACACGGCCCTTAGTCAAAAGCCTTCGAGGTGACTACAAACGTTCCTCATGAGCGCTACTATCAAGTAATAGTGGAGAAAATGGCATAGCGAGGTTGACGTACTTCTGAGGTAAACCAGATGAGCGACGCAAAAACGGTAGGAACAATGAAGAGTAGACAGAGAGGAACTTTCCAGGCTGTAATGGTGTCCAGGGTGCTAGTTCCTCTACAGATGCAATTCATGATAAACCCTCCAAGCTGCGGGAAATGTTAGGACTCTCCAGTCACGATGAAGTTTTCGAGTACTGTATTTGAGAGTCAATCAGATTAATATGCCCAGCGCCACTTTATACAGTTGTTCTTCGCTAGTGCAGCAGATAGTCTCACGTAGCAGAATCCATCACCTTTCCACCTTCGTCGCGTGTATCATGATGATCAAACATTACGCAGCAACCTTGGACGGACCATCATTACTCGAAATGACGCTTCGGAGTGGAGGGCTTCGAGATTTGCGGACAAAAATCTTCACCTGAAACTACAGGAGAAATCTTTCTCTTTTCTATCTATTTTGTATCATAGCTGTTCAGAACTGCATCACTTATTTCCCATGTTACAGTCAGTGAGCGTTACTATTCTCAACCCTGCCTATAACCTAGATTGAAAAGTCAAATTTCTAGATTGTCAGATTCTATGATAGATCGAGCGTACATCAGCCTGTCAATAGGAGCCTCGATGGTCTCAATCTGCTGAAGGGGGATCTATGCGTGGGATTCCGCCGTCATTGCCCACTCCCCCCTCCTTCCCTGGACGTCTCCGCCGCAGTCATGTCGCGGGCCGCCTGCAGAAGTGGACTTCGGCCCCGGATCTCAGGCCCCCACCGGAACATGATCAGGGGGACGAGAGCCAACACAAAGGAGATCATGCCTAGGAGGAAACTCGCCCAGTGGTAGCCTAGAGTGTTATACATGCTCTGAGTGGCTAAGGGAAGGAAGGCCAGGAACAAATTCTCGCCCAGTCCCACGGCGGCAATCGCACTGCCGGCCAAATGCGCATAGGCGTCCAGTAGGTAGGTTACAATGCTAATGACGATGGCATTGCTGCCCATTCCCACCATTGCGAGTCCGATAGTGGGGGCAATGAAGGGAATCGACGGATAGGCGGTCCAAGCGTAGATGAGCATGCCCCCCGTGTTGCCGAGCAGACCTCCCACGAGCGCTGCGTAAAGCCGTGCCTCGGGGATGGGCCTGCCGGGGACCTCGTGGTTGCGTGAGGCCGAAGCGAAATACCACCGGTTGCAGATCAGGCAGAGGACGAAGCCGCACAGTTCCCCGACCACAATCGCCACCTGCACGTAGCCGGCTTGCGTTGCGTTCCAGCCGTAGAGCCCGTTGAACACTTGTTCCGCCGACTGGGTGAAGATGTAGATGGTTCCTAGACCGAATGCGGACCAAAGGGTGGCGACAAAGACGACGGACTCGGTGAAAAGCATCGTAACTGGTCGTTTGATGCTCTCGCCCAATCGCGTGAGGATCTTGGTGTTCTGGGTGGGGGATGCAACAGTCTGCTTGGCCGCCGTGTCGCCAGTGCCGTGACCAAGCTTTCGCGCTCGCTTTTCCTGAATGGCCGATGGTCGAGTTTCGGGGAAAGCCAGGAGAAAGACCGGAAACAAAAGCCCCGTCCAGATCAGCTCGATGTAGCTGATCCAACGCCAAGACAGATGTTGGAAGATGGCAGCACCTAACACAGGGCCCATACTGCTGGAGGTCATGTAGATAGTGATGTAGAGACTGATGGGGAGCGTGCGAGCGCGGTCTCCAGACCAAATATTGCCGATCACACCGGCAACCGTGTTGGCTAAGATGGCCACGCAGCCTCCGCTAAAGAACCGGGCAATAATCAAAGTAGCATAGTTCTGCGCGACCGCTTGTGGTATTAGAAAGCAAATGAAGCAGAGATAGATCGCGAGGAACACCCAACGGATCCCAAAGTCTTCCATAATAGGCAGAACAATCAGAGAGAATGCAGCGCCACCAAGGCCCCATGAGGTCACCGGCCAGTAGGAGTGCGGAAATGCCTTATCGCTGACATCAAATCTATCACCGATTGCCTCGTGGGCGACGGTAATGATAGTTCCATTGATAAGGGTTTCGAAGCTAGCCAGGAGGCCTAACCCTGTCACGAACCACTTGCGAAGCGGCGTCCAGTTGAACGGATTATCGGGGTCGTTAGGGCTGCTCCAGCCTTATGCTCGGGGATTAGCTAGCGTTTCTGTTTCGTGCGAATATAGGAAGACAGTTACCGTTGGAAGTGCCGCCTACCATCATCTTGGTCTAGTATCGATTGAGCACACGAATTTTCTCCTGATCCACCCCACTGCTTTCTGTAATTGGGAGGCTTATTTATACTTACTCCGATCAGGAGCGTGGCAACCCCTGATCGGTAAGCTCTATCCCACCTATGCCATAGAATCACAATGCCCCAACTTCCACAATTCGCTTTCCCTTTTCTAGGGCTTTCCAGGCGTTGAGCAATTGCTCATCTGGGTTTACGAATCTTCGGGGTGGGGACAGGCTTTGATTACCGAGCTTTGAGATTTGCCGCCCTCCCACCGGCCCGCTGTTATTTACATAATCAATATGAGGTTTTGTGGGATCCGGACGGGACCTCTAGGTGGGATTTAAGGTCTTTTTAAAAGATGTCACGAAGTGGTGGGCCTTACTGAGGGTCCACACCCCCACCCCCTACTCCGACGAGATATCACGTCCTGATATTCGGACCGGGCCCACCTTATTACTATGCACGAGATGGGTTACCCCGACCAACATATACTAGTTCGAATTTAAGGAGCCGTCGAGAATACTCAGTTAACACTGACACTGATTGGACATTAAGCTGCTATAATCCAAAAATCGCATGGCTTTCTACGGACGATGCTGTCTATCCTAATGATTCCGCATGACAGACTAAATCTACCATCTACCTGCAATCCTATCCTTGGCCGTCGCTACTGATTGTTTCGGGAGCAACAAGAGGACATTCTCAACGGGATTGGAGAAGTCCGGCGGCAATGCTGAGACCAGGCGCTAACCATAGCACCGACAGGGCAACGTTGAGGCGAGCCTTGAAGTACTGGACACCAACTAAGACCCCGGCAATGGCATTAACGCCTACGATCCACTTCTCCATCGTCGTCGTAGGACCTCCAGATTTGGCCCACTTGTAGTTCAAGAGCGCTGTAGGGAATAACAGTCAGAAATTAGTAACGTTGAACGAGCGAGGCGACATCCATACCGAGTGTGACCAAATAGCCGTTGACAAAGTGCCAGGTGGCGGGAATAATAGCTTTTGCCAGAGCGAATTGCTCCGTAGATGGCACCGCCTTCATCGTGTGCGGAATCAGAGTGAGCCCAACTTTGACATGTTTCGGGATGATAGCGATGTAAAGAAACGAGGCGGCTGTGTAGAGAGAAGATGACAGGGACGTCATGGTGGAGGTAGATGAGAAAAATTGCGATAGGAGAGGTTGTATTGACGGAAAGGGCCAGGACGTTGGACATGGGAGCAATTTGCGAGCGTAACTCTTAGCCTTTTATTCCAGGGAATGATGGGAATGCATCGTGAAAGGCAATAGGTATGCTTGCCAATTGCTGACCAAAAACATCAACCCATCCCACCGGATGGATTCCTTATCTTCGGCATTTATAAGCCTGACAAAGGCTGGTAAAACTTCAAGGTTGCCCGAGTGGGTCGATTGCCCACCACCGCCAACATCCCACCGCGCCGGCTAGATGACGGATCCCACAGCAGATAAGTACGGTCCTAGATATGTGGGTATATTACTCCTATACAACAAGTTCCTGTTCCCTGAATCATTCTTGTTCAAAAGCTTCTCTCGCTCAAGCTATATCATCCTCGCTTGGTCTGCTTTCCGAGAATCGTTCATTCCCGATCACAAGATAACAATCGTCTTCACCACTACAACCTACCATGACTGTCAAGACTAGTTCTTTCGAGAGCTCCATCTCTCTGACCCATATCACGACAGCCACCGTACTGCTCGAGATCGACGGTGTCACCCTCCTGACCGATCCTGTCTTCGGCCCTGCTGGCGTTGGGCACGACATCACCCACCTTTTTCCCGGTGCCAAAGGCCCTATAGTGGCCTGTAGCGATGAGGATCCAGCCTTGAGCTTGAATCAGCTGCCTCCGATCGACGCCGTGCTCCTCAGCCATGAGGACCACTGCGACAACCTTGACCCCGTGGGCCGGCAGCTTCTCGACGGCCGCCACGTTGTCACCACGATGGATGGCGCCAAGAACCTCGCACCTCGCCCCGGCGTCCACGGCATCAAGCCTTGGGAACTTCAGACCCACAACATCCGCGGTGTGACATACGAGATCACCGGCACCCCATGCGTCCATCTCCCCGGTGGCGAATGCACTGGTTTCATTCTCCATACCGCAGCGTTCGGCCACGCCGCGGACGGCCGGCCAAATGCCCTTTGGGTGACGGGGGATACTATCTACCTGGAGGAACTGCAGCAGATGAAGCACAAATACCATATCAAGCTAGCCGTCATGAATCTGGGCGCTGCCCGGGTGATGTATCCCGGCCATGCCGAGCCGCTGCAGATTACAATGGGCGGAAGTGATGCCGCGCGCTTGGTCCGCGAGATCGGCATTGAGCGCATCGTCCCCGTCCACTACGAGTCGTGGCATCACTTCACTGAGTTTGGAAAGGACCTTCGGAGCACCTTCGAAGAAGAGGGAATTCTCGACAAGGTGGCCTGGGTTGTACCGGGAGTCAAGAGCAAGATTTTGTGAGCAGGAGAGCTTGGGATTTTCAGGTTGTATACTAGATGAACAAACTTTGCTGTCGTCTTATTGCTTACTACACTGTGTATCACTTCCCACTGGTATAGTACAATGACAACGAAGTCTAGCATTCCGTTTGTTGAAGACCATTCACTACGTATACCCAACTTGAGCTACCACGACAATGTGCAATGTCTAACCACCTAGTATTCATGATCTATATCTCATCATACATATGCATCTTTGAAGATGACGACGCAGCCTAAACAGGCTCATACTTGTACACCTCCCCACGCCGCCAGCCCCTCACCTTCGTGACGGCCGCGTCGCAAAGCGGCTGAATCGTCCTCCACCCAAGCGAATAATACAGCAGCCCCAGCAACGCAATCCCATATCCGACCACCTGCAGCGCACTCACCGGCGAGCCCCAGATGACGATCGAGCAGACAATCAAGAGGATGTTCTTGGGCACGCTGACCAGCGTCATCGTCAGCCCGGACGTTTTTCCGATCTAGAAACGTTAGCATGAGCCAAGTCCCCTATTACCCCCTTCTCCCCGATGAGAATCTGGAAAGATAGGGGAAAAACCCACCAGCACGAAAATCGACACATTCAACATAAACCCCACCCCAGCATTAGCCAGCAAGACGCCCCACCCGGTCCTCCACACAATCCCCCACTCAAACCCGGCCACCTCGCCACTACCCAGGGCGATCAACGCGTTGGTCAGCGCACACACCGGCGCCGAATAATACAGCGTGACCAGGGGATCCATCTTCTTCCCCTGGCCGTGGCCGTGGCCGTGGCCCTGCTCTTTCGCCAACTCCTCCCCCTCCCCCTCTCCCCCATGCCCCGGATCCCCATTCTCACTCAACAGAATCTGAATCATGACCAACCGATTGGCATCGAAGACCAAACTCGCCACCTGAAAAGCTACCCCCGTCCAGACGAACTGCACCTCACCGGCAACAGCCAGCCCGACACTGAACGCAATGACCAAGATATTCAGGAAGGATTCGAGCGAGGGCCGCGCCACGCGCCACCCCCAGCTGGTCAGGAGGGTGATGATGGGGCCGCCGGCCTTGAGCATCTGAATGAAAGACACGTTCAGATACAGGTAGGTCAGGTTGCTGGTGACCAGGCTGCCGCTGTACAGGAGCCCGATGGGGACGATCTGGCGCAGGTAGGTGCGGGGCGTCATGCGGTGGGTGTGGCGGCTGTTCAAGAGGGTCGTGGTCCGCGCGAGGAGTTGCGTGGCGAGGGTCGCGAAGAGGAGGTGCCAGGTTGTGAGGATTATTGCTTTTTCTTTCTGTTAGTATTCTCCGGGTTGTGGTTGGGGGGTTGGGTTGTTTCGGAAAAGTGCTCACGGTAATCTGCCCCGGGGATGTTAGTGGTGATTTTCGGTAGCGCGATGCAGTATACGGGAGGTTGGGAGAGGAAGCTGAGGAAGGAAGGAAGAACATACGGAACTCGGTCGACTCGATCAACCACTTATTGAAGAGGATGGTCAGGTTCGACCAGAATACCCAGGCTCTATACCCGCGAGGAAAATGTCAATTGGCTGATTCTATACTCTTGCGGAGAAAATGAAATCTACATACAACACCCCCAATACCACCGGCCATATCGGCTTCTTGGCCGGGTCTGCAGCGGCAGCGGTTAATGCCTCCGAGTATGTCATCTTCACCTCGGAGGGATAATCGATGCTGCTTGGAGAGGCGGGTGACGTGGATGAAGGAGACGGCGAAGATGCGGAGAGCAATGGCGATAGCGATAGCGATAGCGACAGTGACCCCCGATGCAAGGAATCAGACCCAAAACTCCCCTTCTCCTCGGAGGGACCCGTCATACTACATGGCTGCTGCGAGGGGATATATACCAGCCCGTCTCTGTCTTCCGCCGAGTCTACGCGCCAAGAGCCGCGGGCAGCTTGTTGATTGCTGGTGCTGGTGCTGGTGCTGGTGCTGGGCGGGGGTACAAGCCCCGTTGGGCTGCGGCCGTGGTTTGAAGTCATAGGTTTTTCGGCGGGCGATGCGACTGCAACATTGACCGCAAACGGGTCCCCCGCTTTTATAAGTCTTTACGATAAAAAAAAAAAAAAGAAAAAAAAAAAAAACTGACACGGAGTAGCGGTCACTCACTGGCGGGTGGTGAGTGGTGACAGACATTGTGGGGTCCAGAACCAGGCACCAGCGTTTCTGCACCCTATTTTCAGGGCCCAAAGCTTGTTTGCGGCCCTGAGCGACCACTACCCATACGAACTGCCAGCAGAATATGACGCATTGCATTCAGGGATGTCTCGGTTCGCGCGGATACCGTGGACGGGTCTGGGACTCACTCGGAATCCCCTTCCGTTTGCGTGCATCTCCCGCAGCCCGCAGTCCTAGTTTGTGGTTGGTTTGGATCCCGCAGAAAACCAAGGCGTTCATTCTATGTGACACTGTGCTGAACTAGAAAATAAAATATCGCAGAATAAAGACTATTGACATAAAGATGATGAGAATAATCGCACAGCCCCCCCTTGCTCCACCCTCACCACGAATGCGTACAATACGTAATGAAGTAACTCGGCCACGCCTCCACGTCGATCGCCCGCTTACACGCCTCGGGATCGAACTGCGGGTTCTCGAACGCCGCCAAGCACGCGGGGAGTTTCTTGTCGTCCTCCCAGCTGTACGGGTAAATCTGCTGCCGCGGCAGGATCACCATCTTGTCCTGCACCACGACAGGCGCGCCGCTGCCCTTCGTCTGCAACTCGGGCACATCGTCCTCGTGGCCCTCGGGTCCACAGTACATCTCCCACCCGGGGGACCAGCGCCGCACCTTCTGGCACACATGCTTGCGGACGGTCTTCTCGTCGCCCTCAAAGTCCTCGAAGTAGCGGTGCAGTAGAAACGCCAAGGCCGTGGGGCCGGTCAGACTCTCCACCGAGCCATCCTCACTACCGTTGGGGTTCTCGATGACGTGAATCACGGGCAGCAGCCAGAACGGGTGGCCGGGCGGCGACGCCATCCACCCGTTAGGCACGGCCGCAGGACCGTCCAGTCCCGCCCGGTGCGACATGTGGCCCAGGAACGCCCGCTGCGTGAGCGTAGACGCGTCGTGCGGTGATGGCACCTTGGCCTTCCCCGTCCACGACCCGAGGAGGCTGCTGTGCGCCGCCCGGAGGGGGGTGTCGTGGCCGGCAAAGAGCGAGTCCACCGGTCGGAGGGCTTCGGTGTCGACGTCGGCGTACATTCTATTCATATATCAAACATCAGTAATCTGGCTCAGGAACACCCCGATAAAAAGTTAAGTCTCACCCTCCAAACATGAACATGTACAGATTCCTCACGACATCCGCCCGAAGGATCTCCTTGGGCAGACGCAGGTAGTCCTGCAGGAACCACGGGAAATGCGTCTCCACGAGCAGCCGGTTCGTCTCATCATCCCAGAGGACGTACTCCCAGTCCGGGTTCTGGGCCCGCATGGTCTGGACCCAGAGCTGGGCGTTCTCGCTCATGTTGCTCCCGGCCGGGAACCAGGTCTGGTGGATGAGCTTGGGGATGGAGACGAGGTCCGACGAGCGCGGCCGCGAGATGAGCTCCCTCGCGGACAGGGAGCGGGCGTAGGAGGGAGAGGTGAAGGGGAGTTTGTGGTGTTGCGGGGGCTCCTTGTCGGTGTTCGCATAGCTGTCCTGCCGGCTGGACACTGGGAGAATGGTGTAGATGCAGGCTAGGACAACCGCGAAGGCGAGGGAGAGTTGCAGACGCCGCCGCGTGAACCATTGGCAGCCGGACCCTGATCGGATCATGGCTGCTGTATATGTCGATTGCTCGTGGTGCTTGGGGAGTTGGTGAAGCTCAAGTGCTTAACTTAGGCCATTGCGCTGCTGCGACGGGTTGGAGGGGGCCTTGTTGGTTTTGTTGTAGACTGGGTGCGAATCCCGATCGCGCAGCCCATCGTCTTCGTCCATCCACGTTGCTCTTCCGGTTTGGTCGCAATATGTCCATGGTTCTTTTGCAGCCACCCGTCTTCTCTGGTCTGGGTCAGGGCTCCGCGGTAGGATTGGCCCGTAGGCCGGAAACGGCTACATGAAGCGCTACACATTCCTCGGCGATAGAACGGAGCGCCCGGTTCACCTGGTAGCGTGTTGTTGTTGTTCATGAAAATTAGGGCGCTTAGCTGTCAGAGTATGATGCTTTGGAGTCAGGACCTCTCAGAGTGGGTAGAAATGATTAAGCTCTGATGATGGTGGTGTTCCATCATGTTCATACCTCGGTAAGTCACGGGTTGTTCATCATGGATCATGATTCACCCCTTTGTTGCCTCTTTCGGCTGTTGCCGCTTTGGGAAGGTGAGCCGGACGAGTTAGTCTCAGATGTTGCGCTCACCTTCTTGACAGTAACAGTACTTTGTCCTGCTTATTTGTGATTTCTGTGCTTTGAGTAGCAGTCAAGAATTTGGCCTTTGAGAATTTAGTTACCAGGAACTCACACATGCAACAGTAACACGTAGCATCTTCTCCATCAGCTTTACCAAGCGAAGTGTCTAGTGGAATGTGTACCAACCATCAAACGTTACTAACAAAGAAATTGAAGTTTGCCATTTCGCTGGTGACATTGAACCCTTTTCTATCCAAACGAAACATGAACCAAAAGACAAGTCAAACTGCCACTCATTTCTCTTAAAGCTTGCAATTCTCCCTAATTTCGGCTTGGACCAATACCACGAACGGCAAGAAATGAGTTTTAAAGCACAGCACTTGGCCCAGATTGAGTATTACAACCATGAGAGATAGTACGAGCACATTGGAGGTCGGAATGCACTAATGCAGTGAAACAAGAATCTTATTGGAAGGTCTGACAAATTGAGGCATATAATCCTATTTCTCAGTTAGTGGTCTTTCGGAGACGAAAACCTCTGCTGCTTGCGACTTGACTTCAGTCGTGTACCGCGCAACAACAACTACATGTCGACTTTAGAGCCGCCAGCCAGGCATATCGAAAAGGATGTGTGACGGTCCATCATGTGCCAGATTCCAACGAACGTAGAGGCGATCTTCCCAGCGAGTTGTTTCCTTGGAGAAGCGCCAATACTCCCAATCAACCAAGTAGCTAGACGCTTAGATTCAGAGGTGGAGTGGTGAATAAAGACACAAGAGTATCCAGTGGGTGAACTGACTATCTTTCACTTTCCCTGTCCCAGAGAAGGTTATTTATCGATCCATCACCATGGATAACCCCACAACGGACTGTCTCTCTGAAATTCCTGTCAGCCTTTCCGTATAACCTGGGCAGTGGTGATTGCAGCGGCACTGGTTCTTTGAGCCTTTGATCGAAAGCCACAACTTACAGCCATGCTGCTTTGAAGGCCTCGTCTCGCTCATCGCGAGGCATTTGACCTGAAAAAAGCGAGTCCCCCGGATTAGATCCCGGTAGCTTCTCCATCAGAATACTCAGCTTGTACCCTCCCGGGACCCATTCATCAATTGTCTGTTGGTCTTTCTTCCAGGACAGCAAGAAAGGGGTACTGGAGCAGCCAGCCTTCATCAGATGGGACAAGGCCTCGATCTCCGAACTGAAGGCCCTAGGAATCTCCGAAGAAGCTTGCTTGTCACGAATTTCGGGCGTCTTCGTCGCGGTTTTCCACCACGGAATCCTGGCCATCAAATGTCAACATGTGCTTTTCTTCCAACTGGTTGGAGGATACTGACTGCTGACGAATTTTGATGACTGCAGTGGGTGGCCCACTCCACGACACCTTGGAGCAAGAGAACACCCCACGGGCCTCGGAATGAATCCCCAAAGCCTCACATTCAGACTGTTCCTCATAATAAATATGTTCGTAGATTTCGCTTTCCAACCTCCATGCTGAACCCGATGGGAAGGACATTTCCGTGCCAAGGAGATCATCCTCATCGAACCAGGTGATGTCGTCTGAATCGATAGCTATGCTAGGATAGTGTTCCGGAAAAGGCGGACTGAAATTTCTGTAGTCTATGCTTGGCAAAGATACCGAGGGCTCATGCAGAGAGGGGTAGGGATAGCATTTGCGCTATTAATCGAAGGGATCTTTTGAATTGTTGGCATCTTATGTACAGCATTTACTTCGAAGGTGAGGTAAACTTGAAGTTAATCCGTCTTCCGGCGCCTCGTCAGCCAATGATGTTCTCCAAACTCGCAGAGCCTTGCAGTGAAGCAGGCAGCCATTGGATGCCTGGGCAAGGGGTCGAACGGGGCGGGAACCTACTAGGCACTGCAGTAATTTAACTTACAGTGAGCTGTCATTTTGGGTCTAGTCACCTTAGTAAGATTGACAACAGTTCTACGTTTTCTTCGATTCTTTAGCACTACTCCCCAAAAGGCTTGCCGAATGAACAGTCAACGTCTTCACAGAGAATCTCAAGGCATGGCCTCGCGACCGAGTATGCAAAAATATCCTTTGCGAATAATCTCAGTCGGCATCTAGACCTTATCATCTCCAATCAAGGTTGTAGCCTTCTTGACCTACAGCGTCGTTGTCTCCACGTATCTCCACGTGTCTCCATGTGGCTGTAGATGCCTCAATCGGAGAGGCGGCTTGTCCGTCTCGGCAATGGCACCATTTCTACAAGGTTCTGGACCCAAGGGTGTTCTGATCTGTAAAAAGGAAGAAAGTTCTGGATGTCTTGTTTTCGTTGAGCCAAGTCTCAACTCAACATCTCGGCAACAGAGTGCCTGTGCGAAGTCGTGAGTCAACAGTCTCCGATTGGCCCATGACTGCAGTTCGAGCCTCATAACGACTTGACTTTCACTTTCATCTACATGTCGTCCCCGCTCCCATCTCACGATGCCTGAGCATTTCGGAGTAGCGGACTTTGTGAGCACGTCCTCTCGGAGTTTTGCGATCCTATTCGTGTTAGGGGCGCACTAATGCACGCGTTCCCGAACCGACCCTCAGCAGCCCTAAGCGGCTGCCATGGCCCCCAATGCTCCCAAGTACAACCTCAATCTTGGTGTATAGATGCTGCGACGGCTCATACTCTTGACGCAAGTATATAAGCCGGAGGTTGCTTCCACGATAATGGCTCAATATCCTTCACAAACCTCATGAATCTACGACTTGTCTTCTCATTCCAGCGTCTGTCCTGTTAGCATTATTGTCGTCTATAGAAATTATACCCACTGCTTTGTCCTTTCACTTTTCGATCAAGAACATAGATTTCCATTGAACCAACCCGAGCCACATATACCCAAACTTCACAATGTTCGACCTCTCCAAATTCCAAGACGACATCGGCCAGCTGGCCGGCCTCAAAACCTACACCCACCTCTTACTATCATTCCCCATCCCAGACCGACACGCCCAAAGGGCAGCCATCAATGCCCTATACACAGCCACGGAGACCCTCATCTCCGAGTTCCCCTGGCTAGCCGCCGAGGTCGTGCACGAGGGCCGGACCCCCGGCAACTCAGGCACCTTCCGGCTACAGTCGTGTCCCGAGTTCAGCCAGCCGGAAGACCTCGTCATCGTGCGCGATGCCTCGAGCATCTGCCCGTCCTACCAAGAGATCTGCGCCGCGCGAGGGCCATGCTCAATGCTGCCGGTCAGCGCGCTGGGACCCGTGGTCTCGTTCCCGGAGCGATACGAAGACTCGAGCATCGAGCCGGCGCGCGTCTTCATCATGCAAGCCAACTTCATCGAGGGCGGGCTCCTCCTTGACCTCGCCGCGCAGCACAACTTCATCGACGGCGGGGGTCTCTTCCAATGCGCGCGGCTGCTGGCCAAAGCCCTGCGCCACGAGCCCTTCACGGCCACCGAACTGAGCCAGGGCAACCGCGACCGCCGCACGATCATCCCGCTGCTCCACCCCTCCGAGCCCATGCTCGACCACTCCCACCTCCGCCGCCCCACCATCCCCAGATCCCTGCCAGCCCCCCGCGCCCCGGCCAGCTGGCACTTCTTCCAAGTCCCCGCCAAACAAATGGCGCAGATCAAGCAGCGCGCCAACACGGAACTCGCCTCCTCCTCCCTCCACAAGCTCATCCCCCTCGTCTCCACCAACGACGCCCTCTGCGCCTTCCTCTGGAGACGCATCGCCGCGGCCCGCCGCCGCCAGAGGCCGCAGCCAGCGCACCGACGCACGAAATTCTCGCGCGCCGTCGACAGCCGCCGCGCCATGGACGTCTCCCCGGAGTACATGGGCCAGATGGGGTACAACGCGACGACGCGGGTCGCCTACGGGGACCTCGACACGATGACCCTGGGCGAGACGGCGGGCGTGCTGCGGGCGCAGGTGCGCGAGGTCAACCACGCGTACGCCGTGCGCAGCTGGGCTACCTTCATTGCACAGGAGCCCGACAAGTCGACCATCATGTTCGGGGGCGACTTCGACCCCGAGACGGACATCGGGGTCTCGTCGCTGGCGCATACGGAGCTGTACAGCTGTGGGTTTGGGGATGCATTGGGCCACCCCTCGCTTGTGCGGCGGCCGACCTCGGCGCCGTTCGAGGGGTGTGTGTACTTCTGGTCGCGCACGGAGAATGGCGATCTGGGCGTCATGGCGTGTTTAAATGAGGGGGATGTCCGGGCGTTGAGGCGGGATCGGCACTGGGCGCGGCATGTGGAGTATATTGGATAGAGATGAATCAAAAAGCTTTTATGTCATGAACATTGATGCATTTTCTTTTCGGCTTCTGTAGGCTGAGCTCGCGGTAGGAGTTTATTTGCTTGAGTGTGGTGGTGGGAGAGTGGAGGTACTTTGGCGTGTGCTGCCCGGTGTGTATAGTATCTCACCTGTCGAGAGCAAGCTGATTGCGAAAGACTGGCCAAATTCTCTATGAATTAGAATTCGATTATTTTGTGACATTGATTATGAATTCCAGATTCATTAACCGAGACAGCATGTTGGAAGCATTTGATCTATGATGGTTACTAGATAAAGTGTGGGTCTCATGAGAACAGCACCAGGAACTCCATCGATCGATGATCTGTATAAATTCAACCATCCATCTGTTGCTCGAGCAAGGGGTCTGGGCGAAAGGGGTCTGGGCGAAGAGCAGACTAACTGTGGTTCTCAAGCTCTGCACTCGATGGAGGGTGCTCCGTATACCGCAGTCACAATATCTGTTTGGAGAAGAATCATGGAAAGCTTCACGGTGTGGAAATGAAGTAGGTATGCTGTTGAGACCACATTGAGGATAAATTGCTCTTACAAGATATTGCAATAGCCCGGTCGAGTCATGTGACCATTCATCGCGCCTGCATCAGCCGCTCACTCTTGTCGTAGTCATCACCATCACACAGCTGACACAACACCTGGGCTAACGGACGGCGTCTGATTTGTCGTCAAAATCTGTCCAAAATGTCACCTTCTTCAGTCTTGCTCGCCTATTACTCGTTGAAGCACGTCAGCACTGAAGCTTTTGTGCTACGCGAATCTGGCGTGTCCTGCCTCTATGGCCTCAAGCTGAGGGGTAGACCCTGAACGCAGTTTGCGATGGCGCCTACCTGAGCTCAAAGGTAAGATAAGAGCTTCCCAAAACACAATTTACGCAGTCTTCGCCAAGTGACGAGCGTTGCGCTTTCCCCGGATGGACAGAGGCTGGCTTACAGTTCCAACGAGAAGGAGATCCCCCTTTGGCAGGTGGAGAGCAGCGGCGCGGATACCATGGTGGACACGTTGCCGATTGACGTGCCCTCCCCGACGAGGCGTCTCTCCATTTCACCGGACAGTCAATATATAGCCCGTGCTAGTGACCAGGGAGTCGACATTTGGAGCGTGGCTGATAAAATGGTTATACGCCGGCTGGGGAATGACGCGGGAGACGTAACGTCGGTGTGTTTCTCGGCGGACGGTCGATTGCTTGCACGAGCTGAAAGTGATATTTGGTCCAAGATTTCCCTTACGGACATCACTGCCCCGGGCCACGGATTCTGTGGTTTTATTGTGACCTCCTAACGGGATCCAGTCCGCGCGCTGGCTTGCTCACGCGACGGTCGGTATATACTCAGTAGTTCTGAGACCACCAACGAGATAACTCTCTGGGACGTTGCTACGAAGGAAAAGCTACAGATTATCGAGGCCCCCGGTCCGACCCAACTGCTTCGGTTGTCCGAGGATCAAAGATATGTGTTGACCGAGCGAGGGGCCTTCCCGATCTCGGGTGCTTCAGCTCCAGGCCAGGACGGTTCTTCGGCGCCAGCCACAGTCGAGTGTCCCGCCTTCCTGGCCGTGCGTGATAATTGGATAGTAACCGGTGCACGGAGACGTCTATGGCTGCCGCCGGAGTATCGGGGGGTCTGGGCTTTGCATGGAAGGGTATTTGACATTGGGAGCAAGTTGGGTCGGGTACTTAAGTTTGTGCTCCGGGAATGATCCCGGGCTGTCTTCGAGATCTTGCTTGATTGACGCCGACAATTCAGCTTGACCAGTCACAGATTTGTCCTTGGGGAACATTATCTTGTGTGGTTTTTATTTTTATTTTTATCCGGAACATTTCGCTTTGGGTGCTGGGTCACTTATATGCCTTTCAAGAATCAAAGTCTACTCCCGTTGTAGGGTAAACCTCGAGAGAACTAGCTGAGGAAGTCAAGCGATACGTCCAAGGATAAGCTGCTGGAGCTCGAGCCTTGTACGTAGCTTCGTTATTCCGGCTGGAAGCCGTGGTTACCACCTGTTTGTGCTTGACTCATTACCATAACAACGCCTGCTGGCATTTCGCCCGGACCGCAAATGCCCGCAGTCCCCTCGAACCCACTACCCAACTGAGCTAAACATCAGATAACGCAAGATAATCAAAGGCCACGTGCAGCCCTCCCAGCGCGTCCCGACCAACACGTCCAGCCTCCTGCAGCCCTACAAGTGGATTTTCGCGATTGCTTTGACATCTCGACGCAGGCAGCGATGTGATTGGACCCCTCCAGGCTGACCCCTGTCGTCACGTACCGAATAACACGTCCAGGAGTCTCAGCCTTAAAAGTGGATTTTCGTGATCAGTTGACATCTCGACGGAGGCAGTGATGTGATTGGATGAGTCCAGGTGAACCCCTGTCGTCGCGTACCAAGTAACGCGTCCAAGGGCGGGTTCAGCCTTAAATGTGGACTATCGTGATGCTTTCGACATCTCGACGGGGACAGGCTGGGTACCTTAGGTGCCTTACTAGGTAGGTGGTGGGAGGCCCGGGAGAACCCGGTGTGTATATCGGGCCAAACTATATTCTTACCAAATGTGTAATCCAATGATACATGGCCATAAACCTAGGAAAGATACAACCACCTCATCCTCTTCATCACCCCATGCATATATCCAGGTGAAACCCCTCATCAAAAAAGCCGGATCAAAACGGCAACAGCCGCTCCCAGGTCTCCTCCGACGCCGCCTTCCACTCCGCCTCCCGGAAATCATACGGCCAGCCGTACTGCTCCTGCAGCGTTCTCTTGATCCGAGGATACTGCCTTGCAATTTAGCATCTCGATTGCAGGAAGAAGCGAGAAAGGGGGTGGCGGGGGGGGGGCAACATACCACCTCGCCCGAATCCTGAACCCAGTAGCCCCGCACCCCGCTGTGTCCACAGGGAATCATCTGCAGAGCCCGCAGCTTCTCCAGATGATCCGACAGAAACGTCGGGGCGTGGTGGGCGTGATACGCGCGCAAGTCAATGGCGTCGTCGCCGCTGCCGCTGGACGGGATCCCATCCCACTCCCAGACTCTGATGGTATCTACGTATCATATCCAAATCAACCGCTCGAACTCTCGCCATACAGCCTCTTTTCGAAGAGGGATAAAGAGAGGAGAAAGGGGAAAAGGGGGTGGGGGGCTTACTCTCCGCCACATCCAACACCCAACAGTCTCCTTCATCCTCGGGACAGCTCAGCGCGATCTCCTGCGGGCGCAAGACATCCCCGCGCAGCTCGTCGACATGCCCGTACCGCTTGGGATCCCGACCGCCGCGGATCTCCTCGTCCTCGAGGTAGACGAAGGCGCGCGAGAGCGGGGTGATCGGGACAGTTTCGGCGAGCCGCGAGGTCCGGGGGTAGGGCAGGCGCTTCAGCAGCGAGATCACGGCGGGGTCGAGGTGCAGGGCCGCGCAGAGGGGCTCGTTGATCGCGTGGCCGGCTCCGTCGGCGGGGGGCCAGATCAGTTCGTCCGGGTTGATGTAGTTGAGTTGCTGGTAGGTGCGGTAGATCTTGGTGATGAGGCCGACGAGGGTGGTTTCGTTGTAGGGGAGGCGCGGGGCAGGGATGTCATTGGCGGGGTCTGGTTCGTCTTGCTTTGAGGGGTCTGGTTCGGGGGGGTGGGGGATAGGAGCTGCCCGAAGGCGGTTTTGGAGATGTTCTTGGCGCCATTGGAATAGGATTATGAAGGTGGCGTAGGTTAGGATGAGGAGATGGAGCCATCCGACGAAAGAGTCGGGGAACTGCACTTTACAGAATGGCATTCTTGTGGGTATGTATGGTTGGGCGCAATCGGAGAACTGTCACATTCCGTGAAGTAAGGAGGAAGAGAAGTTGCATTAGAAGAGTGGGTGCTTGTGGCAATGATTATACCCAGTTCATCTATATTTGAGGAAGATGCGTGGACTAGAGCAGCGCAGGACGGTGGATAAGGGTTTATCGGGGACGTGGATAAGTGAATAGGCAGACAATTCAAGGCCGTCAGGCTACAGAGATAACCACCGGGGTGAGCGGTGAGCAGCAGCATGACCAGTGGGCCGCTGACAGGTATAACTAGGTACAGTACAGTACAGTACAGTACGATGGCGGTAGCATCCTTTATCCGTAACTTACGGCTAACAGGAGATTTGCGAGGGCAAGTTATGGTCTCCCGCTCGTTGCAGGGGGTCGGTGTTCCAAAGAGCATTTCATATTTCTCTCCTGACGAGAACATATGTCGCATGCACCAACGTCAATTTGCGGAAGCTCTGAGCAACCGAGTTAAGAGTAAGATTACCTTCGCCGCACGTCCCATAGCTCAGGATAAATCTCTGCACTCCTCACCGTTTTAGCCTCCAGGCCTCGGTTTGGATTGGTCTGCTCGGATCCGCTAAGATATAGTTTGGATATACTAGTGTATGGGGGCCAAAACACCTCGGTTCCGACGCAGGATGCAGGAGTCCTGCAGGAACGTCAAACTTAAGATCGAGCCACGAGGAGCGGCTGGATACGAGGTGCTAATTACGCCAATCTAATCTCCGACAAAGAGGGGCCAGCCGGGACTAACTTAGGGACCATGATTTTTCAATAGTGCAAGGCCAGACACTTTCCGGGAGGGTTAGATTGGATAGTACTGTACTGTCCGGATTTGGCATTTGATTCCGAAAGAATAGAAGAGCGTAAAGGCTGAATCCAAGATAATCCAGCTGGCTGATGGTTGAAGAGGAAAAAACAAGAAAAACAAGTTCCAATGCTGCCGGGTCTTGTGTTGATGCAGATGGCGCCGGAGGAGAAATATTCTACACAAAGGGTCGATTAAGCAAAAAGTCCCTTTTAACAACCTGAACATGTTCAAAAACCAACTTCGAAACTGCATATAGACCAAAATGCGAGAACAATTCAGCCGCGTGCCCGAATGACCTCTTCGCCTAGACATTACATTGGGGTACAATAACTTCCGGATCGAACTACAAGATTCCCACGCAAATATAGGTTTCGGTCCACAAATCCGTGCAATCCGTCCCAATGGCCGGGTTCCACTCCTCCAGTTCAGCCACGGTGACCCCCTCCGCGCTCGCGATGCTCGAGCAGCCGTCCCCAGTGACCACATAGTAGAAGGAATCGCAGTCCGACACCATGCCCGTCTGGATCGGAGTGGGAGTCGTGACTCCGTTGCCGGTTGTCGTTGTCGATGTTGTCGTTGCAGTAGCAGTGGTGGTGCTTCCCTCAATCCCGACGCACACATAATCGCCCACGTCCAGGTCAGCGCAGCTGCTGCCGACAGCAGGGTTCCAGGCGTAGAAATCAGTCAGTGCGATCCCCGCGTCGGACGCAATGACCGAGCAGGTATCTCCGGCGACCACGAGATGGAACGCGTCGCAGGTCGCGGTCATGCCCGTCTGAATTGGGGCGGGCGTGACGATGCCAGTGCCGCTGCTGGTGGCCGTGGTTGTGGTTACAGTCCCAGTCGCTCCAATGCACACATAATCACCGACATCGAGATCAGCGCAGCTGCTGCCAACCGCAGGATTCCAGGCGTAGAAGTCGGAAAGTGCGATTCCCGCGTCGGATGCAATGGCTGCGCACGTGTCTCCGGAGACCACAAGATGAAACGCGTCGCAGGTGGCGGTCATGCCCGTCTGAATCGGTGCGGGCGTCACGATGCCAGTGCCGCTGCTGGTGGCCGTGGCTGTTGCTGCTGTGGAGGAGACTGCACTCCCTGTTGCCCCGATGCACACATAATCACCGATATCGAGGTCTGCGCAGCTGCTACCAACTGCAGGGTTCCAGGCGTAGAAGTCGGACAGTGCAATACCGGCATTAGAGGCAATGGCCGCGCACGTGTCTCCGGAGACCACGAGGTAGAACTCGTCGCATGTGGCCGTCATGCCTGTTTGGATGGGCGAGGGTGTGGTGATTCCCGCGCTCGCCACGGTCGCAGATCCAGTCGTGGAAGCAGAGATGGTGCTTGTAATCAAAGTGCTCGCGACAGATGGAGTGGATGTCTGCGATGTTGTGGACGAGGTCGACGAGGTTGATGAGGACGATGTGGTCCCGAAGATCTCAAAGTCGATGTCCACGCAGTAGTCATAGCCCGCAACCAAATTGCAGTCGGTGTACAGTAGCGAGAGGTAGGGATTCTATTTTCATGTGTCAGACCCTGCACGTCGCGGGATGTAAGAGTTGACCTACCCATGCAAGAAAATCCTCTTCGGTGATCGAGTATGTAGCCTCGATGTCGGCACAGGTCAAGCCGGTCGTGTAGGTGACCCATTCACTGCAGTCTGAATTCGCCCCGGGAAATGCGGTGCCAGAGGGGGCGATCAAGTATCCCGCAGTGAGACGGCTCGCCACCAGAACTGATGCGATAAGGGTAATAAAAGCCATTTTAGTTGAGAAAGCGACCAGCAAGGGTGCAGGAGACTTGATCGACTGCCGCACAAAGAGATGAACCGGCGTATCGTTTATATAGAGCCTAAAAGGAAGGGAGGCCCGGTCAAGCATATACAACAGTGCCTAGAATTAGTCAACATGCGAACCTTCCCACTATTCCACCGCAAAAGGATGGCCGGAGTAGTAGGTAAATTACTAGGTCAGTTACTAGGTCTGTCACTAGGAACAGTACTAGGAACAGTATAATAGGTAACTTCTTGGCACTCAGGGCCGGCATTGACTGCCTGACTCGGCATAGTCTCCCCCCTGCCAAGCCTCAATACAATAAG